TTTATCTCTCTTGGGGGGAAAGAAACCACCTGTGTGTGGGGCGTGAGAACCCCTCTTCTCCGGGCGCCTTTTAAATATAAAATTTGCTGTGGGCCCGGAGTTTTTTTTAAAAAACCCCCCAACGTTTTTTAAAAACCGCCTTTAAGGTTCCCCGCCCCCCGTTCTCGCCCCCTTTTTTTTTTAAAAAAAAAAAAAATGGGGGGGGGGGGGGGGGGGGGGGGCGTCCTTTAAAGTCAGACCACATGAGCCTATAAAAGAGCAAAACTAAAATGATTTATCAAACTGCTCCTGAGGTGGCACGCATGCATCAAAGCGGCGAGACGGTTCACTCCTCACAGCCATCGCAGTGAAGACGACATAAATACTCTGTAACCCGATTGCAAGGCGATACCCACCACTCGCTGGGACGGGGCCATGAAATGCGTTTCCAGGCCTCCAGAGAATATTTTCACTACGCGCGCATCCCCTGGAGTCGCATATCTGCCCCCTCGATGCGGCCCGCCTGTAACAGCAGAGAAATGATTGAAAAGCGTTTTCTCGTGGTTCCGCGGCGGTCGGTTGTGTCATCGCTGTTGCGTCGTGATGCATCCTGCTTTTGAATTCGGTGCGGGTGACAAAAGATGACTTGTTATTTATTTACGACTTATTTATTAACAGAACATTAAAAGATCCAGAGATGTCTGATGACTTATTCCTGGATGGATATTCTATACAGTTGAGCTGTGCAGATATTCCAGAGCCCCCCCCCCCCCACCACGTGGCTCCCTGTGTGGCGGCGGCAGCGCGCGCGTGGGAGGCCTCCGTTCCACACGTGGAACACATCATGAGAAGCGCTGCCTTTGTACTGCGTGTTTTGAGAAGCTTTGTGCTGATCCCCAAGTGAGCTGGAAGCCCCCCCCCCCCTCTACCACCCTCCCAATACTGCACACGGCGATCCCGGCAAACCCCAAACTCACGCACTCTGACTTAAGCCGTTACAGTAAGATTAGATATCGTGTCGTCTCAAAGTCTCCTGAGACGAGGGACCAGTTTAAAGTCCAGAAATGTGAAACGCGGCAAATTGCTTGAAATTCTCGATTCTCGAGACGTTGACACGTTTTCCGTCTTTGTCTCCAGGTACCGAGGTCCCATCTCCTCGGCAGGTCGCCTCCGTGCCGTCAAAGAGGGAGCGCATCTCCCACAGAGACACCCCGGTCCAGATGAGCGGTGGCTGGGGAGGCGGCAAGAAGAGGGACAAAGTGAAATAAACCAACTCTTCCACTGGCGGACCAGCCCAAATCTGGAGTATCGCCGCCTGGCCGCCAACCAACGTTCAAAATGGTGGAAGGACACGAGGAGCAGCCGGACTCACAATGTCTCAACTTTAGTTGCCTTACCTTTGGACTGATTGGAATACTATGCAGTAATATGTCGGCTTAACAATGAAAATGTAACGTTTTGTGTGTTGTTCGTGTTATTTTCCATCCAGCCCAGATATGGCGGGATATTTTCTCAAAATGGTTGCCAATAGCAACCTGGCAACCATTACTGTCGAGCAGACCGTAATACCTGTGGGCTTGTGTTTATTTAAAGCTAAACTGTTCTTTCTCTGCTGATTTACTGAAAAAAATGTAGTATATAAAGCCCAGAAATTTAAGAGCAATTTCCCCGCTCTGCGGCATATTTAGCTCCCGCTCGCCAACTGCGGCCTCAAAAAGGACCGCTGTTCCTGGCCGAGTTCAAACATTGCCGTTAAAGTGAGGACTTATGCTCCTGGATCACGATGTGTCCGCTTGCCCCGGACTCGGGGGGCCGGGCCGTCCGCGGGTCCGCAGCTTCCTCGCCGCCTGGAAACGATAACGCGACCAAAAGCAAACAGTCGGCCCCCCGGCAGGAAACGCACGTCGCTCTATCTGCTCTCCCGCTGTCGTTGGCTTGCACATGACTAGATGGGGGGAGGCAGGTGACATAAAAGCGTCGGTACCTTCATGCCTGTTTGGACCCCAGGTGACATCCGCTGCAGCCTTCAGAGCTTTTTCTCTTATACAAGAATTGAGGAGTAAACTCAAAAGGTTGTGGGTTGTAAAGTCAGAGCTAATTTATTCCCCCAATGACTGTTTTAGAATAAACGTAGAAGACAACAGGACAGCGGGGGGCGGGACCAATGTCACAGGAACACAACAGGTTTGTACTTGAGCTAAAACAGAGTCACTTCCTTTCGTCAGCTGGTAGGGAACTCGTCTACACATCGATCGACATGTTAACAATCGTGAAATATATCCCACATATATACATATATAACACATTTCTTTTCATCTAGTTGTGTTATAACAATCCACACACAATGTGGTTTTTATACAAAGTCCATTGATATGTTATCGTGTTTTTGTGTAGCAGTAAGTTTAAAAATTAATACAAGTATATTTTTTGACTTTTACACAGTAACTTTTTGACTGTACATTAACAGGGATGATGTGTTGATCAATTTTATTTTTAATCATTATAAAAGCCAAGTGCTCATATGGCCGTCAGTTCTATTTGCACCTAAATATGTTGGATATTTGACAAATGTAATCACTTGATTCTTGCAAAGCCCTTTTAATTTTTACGACTGGTTACATTAGAAAAGGATTTTTCAAAGTTTGTTGTTTGGGGGGGGGGGTCTACGCATTGGCTGCAGCTTTTGGGCCCGAAGGTGACCGAGCACCAAAAGACCACAGTGAACTTTTCACATTTTCTTCCCAGCGTGAGCCAACGTATGGCGAGGTCAGCGTGGAAGCCCAGATGATACAACACCCCCCCCCTCCTCATAAGAGCACCACTGTTTATTTTGACTATTTGTTTCCCTCCTCCCGTGGCCCGTAAGGCTCCAGGTAACTGCCACTGACCCCAGAGCGAACCAAAGCACACGCCAGGGGCGCTTTGCAGGTGGCGTGTGGCGAGGCTCGTGGGTCGAGGGGATGGACTCTGGCTCCTGGTAACACGATTCCTCCATCGAGAAGAAATGGAAGAACCTCGCTCTGTCTCCGTGTGTGTGTGTGTATGTGTGTGTGTGTATATGTGTGTGTGTGTGTGTGTGTGTGTGTGTGTGTGTGTGTGTGTGTGTTCTCCTGTGGGCCGCTTGCTTTAAAAAAAAACGTTCCTGCACAAAGAGGATGTTTGGTCTTTATGTCAAGCAAGAAAAAGGTCCGCATCTCATTTATGTCAATTTAAATGTGGGTATTTATACAATTGTGCCATTTTTTTTTACAAAGGAAACATGCCAAAGTTACTGATCGCTCAGCAAAGTGACAGAAATTGTGTTTTATTAAACATGATTACATTAAAGCGTTTTGTTACACCTCAAAAAAATAAAATCTTGTTCTCACGAAAATGAAATATCAATTACTAACTTAATAACAACCTTTTTTCCCTCCCTCTTCAAATGTTGCCCATTTTGTGTGTGTGTGTATATATGTGTGTGGGTATATATATTTATACACACTTATGCATATATTAGTTAAATATAAATCCATAAATACACACATATACATAAAATATGAAAATATATACATGATCTAAAATATTCGAAGACCTGCTGATTTTTGTATTTTGGTAGGAACCGTATTGTGTACTTTAAAATGGTGGTCTGGTTTCCAATCTTAATGTGGAAATATATTTCCAACAAATAGATCACATCAGGAAAAAGAAGGATTGATAGTTTTGCAAACATGTGACCCGAAGCGCGAATTTCCTCCATAATAATAACTACATGTTAAGCATACAAATATCGAACATCTTCATAGGATTCTCACAAAATGAGCTTAAATATACAACGGCTTTAACATATTTTACATTTACATGTAATAGTTTAAGACGCAAGACATGTTTCAAGATATGTCACGATATCCGGACTGAAAAATATCCTTTAATAATATAATATCTTGACTGCGAAGACGCACGTGTTCATGACGATTGTATTTATTAAAATACGACTAAATACCAAAAAATACAGACCTACATTTTCTCCAAGCTGCACGCGGTTTTGTTAAACTACCAAAAAAAAACCACACAATTAAACATCAACACGCAATTTTATTCCGTGTGTTTAAATATTGAATTAGTGATCTATTTTATATATAGATGGTTTGATAATAATAATAATAATAATAATAATAATAATAATAATAATAATAATAATAAGACACGGCTACAAGTTTCAGTTTGTAACATAGAGGTCACAGAATAAAGTCAGAATGTATTCTGTTGTTCTTCGTTCTGGTACCAAGCAGCAAACACAGATCCGACGTGAGGTGACAGATCCAGAGGAGCAGCTCGAAGCTCCACATTCAACCAGAAGTCGAAACTTCTCCCGAATGAGAGAGTCCGTCTTGATTGTTCGTGTGGCTGCAGAATCCCGCAAAACTGCTGCCGGGTTCGGGTTCAGGACGTGGGAGGAGCCGCCGCTTCAGATCCAGAGAGGAGGAGGGAGGGGGGGGGGGGGGTAGCGGGGGGCTCTTTAAGGAGCTCGCTCTCTTCGGGGCTATAAAGACGTTGTGGCGTCAAGACGGAGCGAATGATCTCCATCGGCGAATTATTGCGCTCAAAAACCACCGGTGTGCCACTTTTAAAAACGTGTGTTTGTTGTTGTCTCTCTCCTCCCATGGTGCCTATTGATTAAAGCGGATCCGGGGATGGAGTATATGGACGAGAAGTTTGCGTTGAAGAGCCACGCGCTGAAGGCCGGCGATTACTACATGGACCAAGTCATGGAGAGCCTGGACAGCGCGCAGTACTTCAAGTCCTCCCCGAAGAGCGCGCAGGCCTTCGGGCTTCAGAGCGCCGAGCACCGGCCCGCGGCCTGCGGGGACCACAACGGTGCGTAGAAGCCTTTTCTTTCCCTTCTTGTGCATTGATATTGTGCATTGACGGGAATGAATGTGTTAAAGAAGACAAAAAAAGGGGAAACATGTTTTATGATGTTGCATTGTTTTTCAAATATAAACGAGCATTTAACACTATTTGGGGATTTTTTTTCCAAACAAAATATCAAAAGTTAATTCCATATGTATTTATTATTATTAATGCATCGCTCCTTCATTGCAGCCAATTACGGTGCGGCAAAGACAGACGAGGACACTTTGCACGGGGACCTCGGGCGGCCGATGGACAGCTGTTGCACCCTGCGGGCGTCCCCGGTGACAACCGGACAGGACAAAACGGATTTGGACGACATGGGGGACAGTAACGTGTCCAGCAGCAAGAAGAGGAGACACCGGACGACCTTCACCAGTGCGCAGCTGGAGGAGCTGGAGAAAGTCTTTCAGAAAACTCACTATCCAGATGTTTACGTGAGGGAACAGCTGGCCATGAGGACGGAATTAACGGAGGCCAGAGTGCAGGTTATTAAGAGTCTTATTTTGTTAACTGTCAACTGACGGATACAATGATTCATAGAATGCTGACAGCAAGTCTTTAAAGCGACAACGACGCGTAAATTGTTGCTCATCTAAACACCAAACAAGACACATTGAGTAAATAAATGTTGACTAAACATCTGTTTACGCACGTCTGTTCTCATTAAATCACTGTAGAGGGAATTATTTTAATTTCAGGTTCCTACAGCCCTTTTTTTTAAATCAAAACAGATTATTTTTTCAGAATTTATTTGCACGTCTTTACAAAGCAAACGCCACTTTTTTATGTTCAAAAAGCCCCGTTTATGAATCACCTGTTGTTGATCTGTCACGTGTCATTTGCTCTCCATCAGGTGTGGTTCCAGAACAGAAGAGCGAAGTGGAGGAAACGGGAGCGCTACGGGCAGATCCAACAGGCCAAAAGCCACTTCGCGGCCACGTACGACCTGTCGGTGTTACCGAGGAGCGACAGCTACACGCAGGCACGTTTACCGGCACCGAATGCGAAATGACGCGATTTTAAATCCATTTGATTGTTTTTTTTATTAATTGATTTTTCCTCGTAGTTTTTTTTTTTACACCGTGGAAGGTGCAGCTGTTTTTCTACTACTTTGTGTATTTGAAAATTATTCTCAGTTTCCCATGAATCAGCCGTTAGATAATGGTAATAATAATTGAATATTTATGTCATTTTAGTTTTTTTAATACAAAAACTCTTAATGCCATGCAGGGAACTTTCATGTGGATATCTATTAGTTGATTTTTTTGACCCTATTCACCTACAGTCAGAATGATGGTAATTTAACTCATTTAATTTTCTTTAAAGGCTTTTCTGTAAATTAGTTTTTTTTTACGCCCACCAAACTTTACGGTTTTATTCTGAGGGACTGAGATATTTGTTCCAATATCATTTATAGCTGCATATAATATATACATATATATATCACATTTTTTTCCGTCCATTTTTGACACGGCATTGACAATATTTAAAGAAAGTTTCTTTTTTAAAATTTTGAACCTGGCTTTTCTCTTCTGTGACTGTATGAAAATCACCACATATTCAAACGCATTGCCTCGTTTACATATTTAAAAAGAAATGGTCACGCAAGAAATGGAGCATCATAATGTCAGTGATCAACTGGGGACATTTCAGGGACAGTTTGATATTATCACCTGCAGTGTCTCCCCTGGAAGGTTCACAGATAACAGCGATCCCAAAATACTTGTGTGCCTTAATGAACGCTCGCATCTGCATGAATCACCATCATGAAACGCGTCTGCAGATAAGCAGCTCGCGCACTGATTGCAGGGCCCCGTGAGGCTGCTGGACGGCCTCGTATCACGTTTCGTGTTCGCTGCCCATCCGTCTTGCTGCTGGGGACAAAGGTCGGGTAGGAGATGAGGTGAGACGAGACGCGCGCTGAGATTACTTCAGATGGAAATATGCAGCTCGGAGGAGTTGGAAGGTTTCGGGTATGTTGAACTCAGTGAGGAGGGGGGGGGGGGCAGCTCTTCTGTACGCCCCGGCTCAAGCACAGGTCAGAATTGTGCTGAACACCCTGTTTTTTTGTTTCTTTTTCCCCCACACATGTTTCTGATCGATTGCTGCCCCCCCCCCCGCGCCAGCCTTACACCCTCCTTCCCAGCTGATCCAGATTACTGTCATTAAACGTCCCGTCCTGCTGCCAGTGCGGGTTTGGTCTCCCTGAACACTGACGTTGATTGCGTTCTTGTGTTTTTAAAAAAAATTGGGTTGTTTGAGGTTCTGGCCCTCATTGTTATGCTTTTTGGGGGGGGGGGGGTTCTGAGCTAGTGCTCGTGGATGGCACACGTCCTCAGGATCGTGTTGGCAGACGGATTCTCCTGCAGAAGTTTATTGAACAGGTAGAGATGAATCTTTGAGGGTTTGTTCAGGTTTTCTGCCTTTTCCTTTGTTTTTGCGTTGAAGGAAGAAGTTCATTGGCAGGCTTTTCTCCTGCAGCTTTCCCCTCCGTGTGATGGAGATCCTGTGAGAGGAAACCCAGTGAGAAACCTCAGCAGGAGTGAAGGCGTTTTGTGTGTGATGGAGCGGCAGCTTCAGTCTACAGACCGACTCGCTGTTCTGTGGACTCGAGTTCTCACAAATCGGTCCGTTGGTGTTTACAGGGCGGGACTACGTCTCCTCTGTTATCTTTTGGTCCCTCTGAGGCGACATGACACTTTTAGAAATGGTGAATCATGAAATGACCTCGACCCTTGGAACGTTTGGATCCATCTTCCGTCGTTCCAAGTTCGAGACTTTGACCTTTTATTGGGTCAAGAAAACTTTGAGACATGCTGATAGTTTTATTTTTATTTGTCCAGATTTTGAGGCGTCTTTATCTGATGTTTTTTCTCTTCACTTTGATACGGTGGAGGCGGAGGAAATTTAATATTTTAAGTGCTCAAACAAAAACCCACAGCAGCGTCTCAAGTGTCCTTGCTAATCTCATCCACCCCACTGTGGTTTTTAAAGGGACTATTTCCTCTTTAGTCTGCATGCGTACAAACGGACATCTTGAGGATGCAAATGTGCATTTCCAGCCTCTTCTCTCAATGTGCCTTTAACAGATTCATTGCATGTATCACTATTCTCCCCAGCAACTAAAGCCTCCTTTCCCCCCCCCCCAGCAGATTTCCAACAACCTGTGGCCGAGCCCGGCCCCCGGCGGCCCCGTGGTGTCGTCCTGCATGCTGCCCCGAGGCTCCCCTCCCTGCGTCACCTCCTACTCCCACTCCCCCCGCTCGGCCGCCGCTGCCGCCGCCGCCGAGCACGGCTACATGGGCTTCCCCAACCAGCAGAACCAGTTCGGCCACGTCGCCCTCAACAACTTCTTCAGCGCGGACTCCCTCCTCACGCCGGCCGCCGCCGGCCACCACGCCTTTGAGACCAAGCCCGAGTTCGAGAGGCGCTCGTCCAGCATAGCCGTGCTGCGCATGAAGGCCAAGGAGCACACGGCCAACATCTCGTGGGCCATGTGATCGCGTGCATGCCTGGCAGGTCGGGATCATGCATGGGGGAGAAAAAAAAAAGATATGTTTCTGTTGGTCAACATCCTCCGATTAGACATCGCCGATGTGTTGTTATGGATGGAAATAGGAGATTAAATACACGTGATGAGAGAGCCAGAGTCAAGAAAACGCGTTCAGGATAACAAACAAAATGGAAAATGTGTCTGGTCTTGTGGTTCGATAGGAGTAAATGAGCTGAAAAACAGAAACGTCAAATAGCCATAATGTTGTGTTTCTAGCAGATCCACAGTAGATAGAAGATACTAAGACAATCACATGGTCAAACACACTTAAAGCTGCAGTTGGTAACTTTAATGAAATGCACCTTTTGTCATATTTGCTCAGCCAGTCATCTGTAATATACTGACGGTAGAACACGAGACCGACGATCCGTCAAAAGAATCTTGTTCCTCTGCTTCCTTTTTGCTCATAAAGGCATTGTGCAAGATTTCACTGAATACAATCAACCAATCAGAGACTCTAACGCAGCTGTCAGTCACCATGAAGCCCGGCCAGTGCTTCATCTTCAACATGGCAGAGGGGTCAAAAACTCTCATTCTGCAGTGAAACCTTTGAAATGAGGCTTGACACAGTTGAGGAGAGTAAGCGGCGATTCAGTAGGAGAGTATGAATTCATGTTTAAGCTTCACAGCTGCGTTAGAGAATCCGTTGGTAAAATCTTGAACTTTCCATCAGATGCACTGTGGGGAAGGAGAGGAACCTCATATTTTCACAGATTATCTGACATACGTACCGCTGTCAGGGTCCGAAGTAGAGGACATGGTCACAGGTACATCTGCAATCAGTTTGTGCAACCTTGAGGGGTTGAGCTACGGCCGTCGCCATCTTGTTTTGATTGCAACCAGAAGTGAGTAAAAGTTAAACTGAAAACTGCATGAGTCATTTTTTTAGTGACCAAAACTTGACAATTAACCCCCACACACCTCGAAAGGGTTGAAGGGCTTTGACCAGAACATGGAAAACTCCCAGACTTGTCAATCACAAGGTAGCCCCGCTTAAAGCATCCCCTGCTTAATGGTCTATTTTACTCAAAGGTAGACCATGATTTACTAAATGAACATCATACTGTATTGAAAAAATGTTTACTGACGGAATAAATCAAGCAAGAATTAGTTCTTTTTTCATTGACTTACATATAACCAGACTTCAATCTGCAACCACAGGAGTCGCCCCCCGATGGCCATTAGAGAGAATGCAAGTCTGCGGCACTTCGCCTTCACCAGAGGTTGTCACTTCTCAGGATATAAAAGTTATTTATATTAGAGTTACCGGCTGTAGCTTTGGAGATGTTCGAAACCGCCACTTAGCTCAACTAAAGTGACGCATTGGAATCGCGGTGACCTGCAGGGTGAGGTCCGGGCCCGCAGTCCTTTCTGGTCAGACACGGCTGGTGACCCTCGCGACCTGCGTTGCTTTAATTGTCGTTGTGTTTTAACGAAGGCCGGGGAGTGCTCGCAGTTTCCTCCCCCATTGACGCAGAAAGTGGAGTGGGATTAGATCCCAGTGTGGGCACGTGCGGATCTGGAGGGAGGGGCTCCAAACCACTGCAGCCGCTTCTTGGCACTGTGAATAAGCTTTCTTCCATCCCTCTCCCTCTGAAGATGCGCAGTGCAGTGACAAATAACCCGACGTACAGACGTGTCTGTGTGCTTTGCAGCAAAGCTTCGTATTCAAATCTCTGCCGTCTGGTGTGTATCTCAGAGGAGGCAGGTTTAAAAAAATGTTTGTTTCGCAAATGTATATCTGTTGGGATTAAAATAAATGAAAGTGACTTGATTTCAGCGCGGCCGCCCTTTTTTTTTCAGGGAAAAATACAAGAGACCGAAAATGCGGATATAGATTGTATTTTGGGATTCTGCCAGCACATGCTTACGTGTTTTTAGGGTCAATGTATTACATTACATGTCATTTAGCTGACGCTTTTATCCAAAGCGACTTACAATAAGTGCATTTCAACCATAATGATACAAACTCAAAAGTACAAGAAACATGAAAGCGCAATTTCATTAAATAAGCCGATTTACAACTTGCTATATATATATATATATATATATATATATATATATATATATATATATATATATATATATAGCAAGTACATTACAAGTGGTACAATTTGTTAGTCTTTTAGTCGAGGTAGAGTCTAAGGAGAAGTGTCTTTAGTCTGAAGATGTGAAGGCTCTCTGCGGTCCTGGTGTCTTCAGAGAGCTCGTTCCACCAGGACAGAAAAGAGTCGTGATCTAGTCGAGTGTTTTGCCCTCAGTGAGGGAGGGACGAGCAGTTTATCAGATGCAGAGCGGAGAGTGCGGGTCGGGATGTCGGGTTTGACCATGTCCTGGATGTAAGCTGGACCCGATCCATTCACAGCATGGTACGTGAGCACCAACGTTTTGAACTTGATGCGGGCAGCCACCGGTAAAGGTAAAGACCAATCGAGCTGCTGCATTCTGGATGAGCTGCAGAGGTCGAATGGCGGTGGCAGGGAGACCTGCCAGGAGGGAGTTGCAGTAGTCCAGGCGTGAGATGACAAGAGCCTGAACAAGTACCCGATCTGCCTTCTGAGTGAGAAGAGGACGTATTCTCCTGATGTTGTAGAGCGTGTATCTACAGGATCATGTTGTCGCTGTAATATTGGGAATCAGGGAGAGTTGACTGTCGAGTGTCACACCGAGGTTCCCAGCAGTCAGAATGGGCGTTAACACGTTTTTTCAAAATAAAACTTGATATTAATTAAGTTAGTTTGAGGCAACAAAACTGAATATTTCGGTTTAGGGAAATATTCTAGTTTGGATCAAAATAATGTTAGAAGTGTACGTGAAGAATAAATTAACTTTCTGTTTCACATTTAGAACAAACAACGCTCTCCTGGGGGAAAGATTAGCGTGGACCTTTTAAGATTGACTTGTGTCCAGATATCTATGCAATATATTTTGGTATATTATAAGGTATATTTTGGAACATTGGATAACACCATTGTTTGGTTGGTAGGAACTCCAAATGTATGTAACAAGCAATACAAAGAGAATTGTTGTTGCCTTAAAGAAGAATTCTAGTCAACTCAGGTTTTTTTCTCATTGCCAGTGTTGGGGGAAAATTGTTGAGCCTGCGTGGGGTACAAATTTCCACCACAGCCAGCAGACCTAAAGAAAGAGAACAAAACCAACAATAAATGCAAGAAGGTACACGGCTGCAGCGTTGTGGTGTTTCTAATTGTGTGGAGAACAACAGAGCTCTTTGGCACAGAGGAGTAAGATTTATGAAGCTTCAGATACTTGATGAAAGGATCAATTCATGACTTCACATGGCCTCACCTCTCTTTGTACTCAGGAAACAGTCACGTGAGATCCTTAAACACGATCGACCTCTTCCTTCATCGATAGCCTCTTTCCACGAGGCCCAACCCTTCACGTCTCCCCTCAAACAGGCAGAACCTCTCCTTTGATCGACTGCACCGTCACATAATCGGGAGCATATCCTCGCCTTTCTTTTTCCCTTACTGACATCATCCTTTTGTTTTGCTCTGAGATCACAGTCAGCGGCGGATAGCATCTCAGGGAAGCCCCGTCTATTGGAACGGTAGGCTTGATTCAATTAGGGACTTTAACTTGTGTCAGATGCTTCGGCTTGAAAAACAAGCTTGTTTCCTTGGGGTACTTCCTGCTTACTGCCATCCAAAAGAACAAATCCGAGTATCTGCAGGCTTCAAGACACAGAGGCTTCGATGATGAAGTGTCCATAGAAACAATGTTGGTTGTGTATAGAAGTCTATGAGGAAATTACTTTACTTCTCATTATTTACTTAGCGAACATTGTAACATGGTCTCAATCTCGGACTTGTGTGTGCTTCAATACAGCAGGTTGTTCATTTAGTAGGTTAGTAGTTTATTAGATCTATTAGAGTCAAATAGATCATGAAGAAGTGTATGCTTTAGGGCGGGGCTACTGGGATTGACAGGTCGCTGCTGAGGTGTTGTCCGATCTGGGAGTTGTCTGTGTCTTTAACCCTTTTACATTTAAAAAAAAAAAATAATTTCAACATTGTAATTAGCTTGTGTCACCTCGGGATGCAAAAACCAAGACGGCGACGCCCAAAACTCCACTTGTGTTCCCAGTCCACAGACGAATGGAGGACTCCACGGGGCCGACGTCCACTTCTAACTAACCAAAACTACAAACGCTGAGGTTCCTGGCAGTCAAAGTGGGTTGCCAAAGTTAACAGTCAGGTCGTACGTAGGAGAATCTTTTTCCGGAAAGAGAAGTAGTTCAGTCTTGTCGGGGTTGGTTTTCTCAATTGGTGAGCGGACATCCACTGAGAGATGTCAGTCAGACAGGCAGAGATCTGTGCCGCCACCTGGGTGTCCGAGTGAAGGTACCGTCCACCTGTAGTCCCCACCCCCTCTCAAACCCTCCCTTTAGGCGCCTGTCTCTTTAAGACCTCCTGCCGAAAAGGCCGAATCTGCTCTGGTTGGCTTGCGAGAGAAATATGGGCTTCTCAAGCTGTGGGTGTAGGTGTCACATTAAATGTTCCTGATTCCTGATCAGGGTCGTTATATTCTTAAACCTAAAAGGTGACAAAGGAAAAGAAAACAACGTTTCCTTATAGAATGCTTCGTAGGATATCTTGCCAAAAGTTTCAGTGCATTTTTACTACGCTTTCCACAGGAAAGTTCCTGCTCAATACAAGGATACAGTCTTTTCAAAATAAAACTCCTTTGTAGAAAATATCTAAGTTAGGTTGAGGCAACAAAACTGAATATAGTGACATTATTTCTCAACTAAAGCTACAAAATGCTCTCTTTTTAATCCGCCTTCTCCTCCCTGTCACCTCCACCCCTCTGCCCGGCATCATCATCACATTGTGACTCCACCACCAGAGACTGATGTCTCTGTGTGTCTGTGTACACGTGTGTGTGTGGTAGAGAGAGAAAGTGAGAGAGAGAAAGCTCCAACAGACCAGATCCATCAACAGCTCCAATGGGTTTGACCCTCGCAGGTTAACCGCAGCCATTAATTTAAGAGCCTCCCTCCCACTCCTCCCTGCTTCCCGCCCTACCTCGCATGGGGGAGGACAGGCTTGTGTGTGCGTGGGAGAGAGAGGCACACACACACGGCCGATGACTCAAAGAAATAGAGGCAGATCAAACGCTGTGGTGGCTGAAAAAAAAGTTGGGCAGCAGAGATCTACACTTGTCTGACTGCGGTTGCTCTAATCACTCAACGCCGATGTTCGACTTCTTCTCCTCCTCCTCTGGGATGGATGGAGCGGGTCATCACCGGACCGTCTTCTTTTGTTTCCCACAAGCCCCCCCGCCAATATTCTTAGACCGATTTGCGTTCCTTCAGAGGTAATTCAGCTGAAGAGTCTCCTGTCAGACTGTGGAAAAGGCAGACTTGAGGAATTAAGTATGAACACATGTTGTTCCCATTGATTCTCCACAAGTTGTATTTGGTCGTTTGAGGCTTACATGTAACGCGTTTTATTAATTTACAATTCCTGAAAACACTTCAGTCTCGGCAATGAGGACACAATTCATCCGTTTTAACCCAGTAACAGAAGTAACCTTTCAGGTATTTGGTCGGCCTGCAAAGACCTTCTTGTTCATCCTCTTGTGCTGCAGGTTTTGTACAACATTAATACTGGTTTGTGTCTCACCATTTATATTTTGTGTTAGTTCTATTAAAATGCATTCAAGGGACTTGATGTTTGTTATGTTCAGAGGTTTTTTAATATACAAGCTTCTTCTGCTCATCCACCGACTGGATAGTTTGCTCTTCACAGCCCTCTGGTGGTTGGCTTAGGTGCAGCCACAGTGGTGGTACATGCAATTTAAAGTAAATTAAGTTTCAAAACGTATGGAAATATGTTTTTTTGCCATTGATAATAACATAGTGTAATAATGTATTGCTATAATGGTTTCATCACACAATGGGTCACACACACACGCACAAACAAAATGTCCACTTTCTGGGCTCGCATCTTATTTTCGTGATGTAGAAATCGTCTCGTTTCACACCTTTCCCCAACCTGCAAATCACTGAAACGTATTCTCACCTTAATAAGATCTTTTCTCACATTCATCATTATGAAACAGTTTCTTGTTAACCCACCAGAGCAGCGCTGAAGTTTTCCCGGCAGACTTCAGAGAGCTGCAGATGTCTTCATTCTGTGAGCAGACCAAAGGTGGGCCATCGTTACCCGAGTGCAGACGGACAGCACCTGCAGCCAATCAGGCCACAGGGTCGTGTCACACCTTCCTCCTGCAACACATGATCACATCTTCCCGCGGAGGAAAGTGGAACCATGGGGGCGAGCTGCACTGTGCCCACAAAAAAAGGCCTTTTTCAAGGTGAACGCACAACGTGTAGGTCTCCGAATGTGGGTTCAGCACAGTTCAGCACAGGATGTCAGATGTCCTGTTGTTCTGACACTGTTGTCAGAACCCTTCAGAATCTACACGGGCCTAATGGCTCTCGGGGACCAGGCCGTGAAGGCAGCCAAAAGGACCTCTCGGGAGGTCCCTTATTCTCAGCGCCGGGTCGGAAGCGGTCCGCAGCCGGGAGGCTGTTAGAGGCCTAAGGCCGCATGCCTCACAAATCCAAACAGGAACTCTGCTGCCTGTCACTCAGAGCAGGTGTCCGGTTACCACACATGTCAGGGTGGGGTAGAAGTGTGTGTGTGTGTCCGCGGCGTATTAATGTGCACCACGTGTATTGTTTGAGTTTTGTTTGTGTGTCCCTTGGTCCCTTGGTAGATGCAGTCCAATCCAGCGGAACCA